GACTTTTGAACCCGAAGTAGGGAGGATGATTAATGTCTCCATGGCAGCAAACTATCTGTTGTGAGGCTCAGGACTGGTCTCTGTCCATCTTTTTCCTGCTGAAAGAGGGAAGCTGGTATGAGATGATGAGGCCAACAGGCCAAGAAATGAGCATATTCACATCCTTAGCATCCCCAGCTCTAGGGCCAACTTCCCCTTTGCAGTGTTATGTGAGTTTTTCCTAATAGCCTTCCAAAAAATAAGTAAATAAATATGTAAATAACTTATTTGACTTGGTTTTCTGTCATATGCAACCAGAGTGCTGCTTAAAATACTCAGACAATACAATTAAGATTTTAAAAAATAACTTGTTTCATTTGATTCCCTTTTTTTGGAACTGGAAAAAAACCAACCACATTCATTGTAGACTTTATACACAGAATCTATTTTCTAAATTTTTGTTTCTTGCCTATTGGTCTGAATCTAGTATCATCTAGAGCCTGGAACATAATATTTGTTGACATGGATGCCTTTAGTCATTGTATTTTATTGTATGACAGGCATCATGCTGGAGACTGGGACCACATAGTCCCTGCTCTTCCAGTGACATACAGTTTAGTCAGGGAAACAGACAAAGTAATTTAATGTGATGTGATATCATATACATAATTCTAGGAGAATAAGGGGGAAAGCACTATGGAAGAGATTACACCTTATATAAGTCTTGAAGGACAAGTAGAAAAGAAAGAAGGAAGTTCTAGTCAAAAATTGCCAATAGACAAAGGCATAATGTCCCGTTTGGGAAAATGTGAACCTTCTGTTTGCCTAAGGCAGGAATTGTAGAGGGCAGGTGGCTGTATTGGGAGGCAATGGGGAAGTACCTAAGCTACAAATCAAGGAAGGTCCTGAATAAAAGATTTAGGACTTTACCCTGTGGGGGGATGATAGTAAAAAAGCTACAGCAGTACAATTTCATGCTGTAGAATATATTGGGATCTATCAGAATAGAAATAAGGAGTTCTGTAAAAACAGAGATTGCAGTCTTTGAGTTAATCAGTTATTGTGTAAAGTTATAATGAGGTAAAATAAAATTAGGGTCAACTGATTTTTTTCTTTTTTATTACTTACTGTTACAAGTACCCTATCTTTCTTACATTACTTTACACATACATAATGCAGGAATTGTTATAACATTACCATTTTACATATGTCTCTAAGGACAGCATATTATTTCATCTTTTTAAAATCTAAGCTAAGATTCTGTCTTACCAAAAGAGTTTAAACAATTCACACAGGTTTAATGATTTTTTAGAAATTATTTGCCATCTTTTTCCATTTCACATATTTCTTTTTGTGTCTTCTGTTCCCCTCCTTTCCTAACTTCCATCGAATAGATTAAATTTGACACTGCTGGTTTAAAATGACACATTATGATTTTTGTCTTCTGATCATTATCTCAACTTATTAAGATCCATTCTTATATGTATTATTTTTATTTTTTATTTTTTTATTTCCCATAGTAATAGAATTCAAACACTTATCTATATTCCCCTTATACCCTTCACTTCCAATAGAAATGCCTTAGCAAGCTCTCGTCTCTAACTGGATTGTAACACCAACCTCCCTCATGTTGGCATTTTCTAGTTTAAATTGTGAATTTATAAATGTTTGTTGTTTTATTTATTGCTTATTTAGATAATAAATTTTACTAAATTATTTATTTCTCATATCTTATTATTTTTATTTATTTTGCTTCTTGCTGGAGGATTTCCTTCAAGAGTGCTTCCAGAGTGTGTATTAGATGGCCTGAGGCTTACCTGAAATATTAAGTTTAACTTTTTTCTTTCAACACTTTGAAAATATTATTCCATTTCTTCTTTCACCTAGGGTGGTTGGTGAGGAGTCTGGGCTGGATGTGTACTTGGTCATCATCAGTGTACAGAGGATAAGTAAAACCATGTGTAAGAGTGAGATCCCCATATGGAACATAGAGAGAAAGAAGAGAAGGGAGCCAAAAATGAACTCTTGAGAAGAGTCGACGCTCAAATGGGGGATAAAGAAGAAGGCATGGAGAGGAAACCAAAATGGCGGTATAGGTAAACACCAGAGATTGCTGCCTCGCACAACCACTTCAAAAATACAACTAAAAGATGGAACGGACATCACCCAGAATCACAGGAAGGCTGGCTGAGGGGAAATTCTACAACTAGAAGGAAAGAGAAAAGCATACCGAGACTCAGAGGAGGCACAGTACAGAAGTAAAATACTAACGTGCTGAGTGCATGCAGAGTGGGCTGGCGGCTGAGGGCACGGTTGTCGTTTTCAATCAGGAGGGAGTCTCAGGCTCTGAGCTCCAGTTCCGGGCTAGTCTCTGGGGACCCAGACTCAAACGGGAGAAGCGGGACTGTCTGGCACCGGTCGGAACTCAAGGGCAGCTTTCTCTCCGAGGTTTGCTGCGGTTGCTGGGACTCTGAGAGGCAGAGCCTCTGGGGACGGGACTGAGAGCACCCATAACTGCTCGCTCCGCCCGCCCTGTTTATCCCCTGGGACCCGCCCTGCCCAAGGCTTGCACAGAGGCATTTGCGGGATAGCCTTAGGCAAAGGCTAGATTAGCACCTCCCTAGAGGACAGAAGTTCTCCCACTGCAGACACAGCTGATTCTCACAGCCAGTTGGCCTGGAGGTCAAATACCCCCCAGTGTTACCTACAACAATCAAGGCTTAACTACAACAAGACTGCGCACAAAGACCACAAGGGAGTGCACCAAAAAAGCATGAAAAAATGAGGAGACAAAGAAACAGGACACAACTGACAGAAATGTAGGATATAGAGTTCAAAACCACACTTTTAAGGTCTCTCAAGAACTGTCTAGAAGCCACCGATAAACTTAGTAAGGCCCTCGAAAAGACTGGTGAGACCGCCAATAAATATAATGAGATCCTCAAGAAATCTAATGAGACCCTCGATGTTGTGATAAAGAACCAACTAGAAATTAAGCATACACTGACTGAAATAAAGAATATTATACAGACTCCCAACAGCAGACCAGAGGAGCGCAAGAATCAAGTCAAAGATTTGAAATGCAAAGAAGCAAAAAACACCCAACCCGAAAAGCAAAATGAAAAAAAGAATCCGAAAATACGAAGATAGTGTAAGGAGCCTCTGGGACAGCTTCAAGCATACCAACATTCTAATTATAGGGGTGCCAGAAGATGAGAGAGAGCAAGATATTGAAAACCTATTTGAAGAAATAATGACAGAAAACTTCCCCTACCTGGTGAAAGAAATAGACTTCCAAGTCCAGGAAGTGCAGAGAACCCCAAACAAAAGGAATCCAAAGAGGACCACACCAAGACACATCATAATTAAAATGCCAAGAGCAAAAGACAAAGAGAGAATCTTAAAAGCAGCAAGAGAAAGAAACTCAGTTACCTAAAAGGGAATACCCATACGACTGTCAGCTGATTTCTCAACAGAAACTTTGCAAGCCAGAAGGGAGTGGCAAGAAATATTCAAAGTGATGAATAGCAAGAACCTACAACCAAGATTACTTTACCCAGCAAAGCTATCATTCAGAATTGAAGGTCAGATAAAGAGCTTCACAGATAAGGAAAAGCTAAAGGAGTTCATCACCACTAAACCAGTATTATATGAAATGCTGAAAGGTATCCTTTAAGAAGAGGAAAAAGAAGAAAAAGGTAAAGATACAAATTATGAACAACAAATATGCATCTATCAACAAGTGAATCTAAGAATCAAGTGAATAAATAATCTGATGAACAGAATGAACTGGTGATTATAATAGAATCAGGGACATAGAAAGGGAATGGACTGACTATTCTTGGGGGGGAAAGGGGTGTGGGAGATTCGGGCACCTATGGATGAGGACAGTGGTAGTGAGGGCGGAGGGTGGGGTGGGAACTGGGAGGAGGGGAGTTATGGGGGGAAAAAGAGGAACAAATGTAATAATCTGAACAATAAAGATTTAATTTTTTTTTTTTAAAAAAAGGAGGCATTGTGAACTAGACTGAGAAGGAACAGCCAGAGATTTACAAAGATATTTGGGAGTCTGTCTTGTAAACCAAGAAAAAAGGCAGTTTCAAAGAAGAGGGAATGATCAACATCAAATATTACAAAGAGGTCAAGTAAGGTGAAGTACTCCAAACTGGTCACTGCATGAAACACTATATCTAAGTTACTAGATTCTGTTTTTAAAAATGAAAAGGGATTGGAGTAAGAAGGCAATAGAGAGGGAGATACAGAAAAGAGAGTGGACAAATGATGGATACCAGTCACTAGTAGTAAGGAAAGAGAAACTGGTTTGCAGATCTACCTCTACAAGGCAGGACAGGAGGCTTAGCACAAGGAAGCTAGGGTAAATTAAACACACGGTCAGAGATATCCAAACGAGAAGGAGGAGGAAATGAAGTCTCACCCAATGAATCCCAACCTATTTATACCCCAGGTTCTGTGTTAATGGTGAAATAAGTCAGTCAGAGAAAGACAAGTATCATGTGATCTCACTTATATGTGGAATCGAATGAACAAAATAAATTGACAAACAAAATAGATCCAGAGACATGAAAGCATGCAACAGACTAAGGATCCTCAGAGGAAATGGGGGAGGGGGGGAGAGATCAACCAAAGAACTTACATGCATATATGTATAACCCATGGACACAGATAATAGTGGGGTGAAGGCCTGGGGAGAGGACAGGAGTGGAGGGGAAAGGGGGACATCTGTAATACTTTAACAATAAAGATAAATTTTAAAAACTAGTTAATAACTCATAATAGAATTCAGTGATGCCTTCAGAAAATTATATAAGGATGAGTAACTGCTTTGCAATTCAAAAGGAAGCTTTCATCTTTTAAAATGATTTCGTACTTTCAAATGTAACACTGACCTTTGTGCAGTCTGCAACCCATAATCAGCCACGCCTATAAGGATTAGGAGTATATATACAGAGAGAGAAGGAGCTAGCAAAGCCCCTTGGGCCAGGATCAACTGGAGAGGAGCAATGGTGTTATTCAGAAGCTTTGTCTGCCTCTTAGTCCTATACCTGCTGCAGGGGTCTGATACTTCCCTTGTTCGGCTGAATAACAATGGCTATGAAGGCATCATCATTGCTATAAACCCTGGTGTGCCAGAAAATGAAGCACTAATTGAAAAAATAAAGGTAAGAAAGAAGTGGAATCTTCTTGTGTTTGTTTTCTAGAAAAGGAAAAAAAGTTAGTTGTTAATAAATATTACGGAAACTTCTGAATGCTCCAGAAAGTTTAAAAACAGCATGTGCAGTGAGGGCAGTGGGTATTGGGAGGCTGTACACGGGGTTCTCCGCTGTCTCAACATAAGACCAAAGACAAGGCACAGGACCTCCCTGATCCTGTTTCTTCATGTGTAGATGAGCAGTTGGACTTGTCTGTTCTTTGTTTTTGTTTTTTTTAATGTACTGATTTGAGAGAGAGGAGGGGGGAGGGAGAGAGAAATATTCACATATTTGTTGTTCCACTTATTTATTCATTCATTGGTTGATTCTTGTATGTGCCCTGACCAGGGATTGAATCAGCAACAGTGGTGTATCTTGACAATGTTCTAACGAATTTAAGCTACCCAGCCAGGGCTTAGACTTGTCTGTTCTTTAAACAATTATTGAATGCTAATAGCAAGGCAACAGTGAATGAAAGAGCCCCTTCCCTTATGCAGTGTACATTCTTTTCAGATACTGATAATTAAACATGTAAATGTATAGCAGAACAGTTGGTGGTGAGTTGCTATGGCATAAAAATAAACCAGTAAAGGGGGTAGGCACTGTTGGTCAGGGTGAGATAGGGGAAGAATGTAGGGAAGACAGGGAAAGCCTCACTGTTGATGTGACCTCCTAGCAGAGACCTGAGATGAGTGTGGGAGGGAGCCCATTGAAAATCTTGGGAAGGGAATAGAGGGAGCAGCAGCATGGAGGTGATAGCATGCTTATTTGGACCAAGGAAACAACTGTAAATGAGCAGGAGGAAGGGTGGGAGAGCTGAAGTTGGAGAGGTAGCAGGGCCCAGACACATGGAAAAAATTGGGCTTTTACTCTGCGTGGGACAGAAGGATTCTGAACAGAGGAGCGGTGTGCTCCCTCATACATTTTCTAAAATCACACTGACTGTATTGTTGAGGAAACTCAGTAAAAAGCTTCCACTTGTCACTAATCCTGTATAAGCTCTGCACAGCATGGAGGTGTAGAGGGACATCAGGTAGGAAGCTGTTGTAGGGGGGAAGTGATGGTGATTAGGAACAAGGATATTCTGGTAGAGATCTTTAAAGTGGTGTGATTCTGAACATATTATGATGGTGTCATAGACAAATTTGTTGATGATTTAGATGTATGTGGAGTAGGGGAAGGTAGGAAGGAAATATAGGAGTCAAACAAGACTTCGAGGGTTTTGGCCTATACACTTGGAAAGATGGGATTATCATCAACAGGGAAAGAGAATACTTCAGTGATCATCTGGCAGCTGAGATATCAGGAGTTAGTTTGGGATATTTTGAATTGAGATGCTTATTAGATACCCTCGTAGATGGAGATAGGAATCAGAGTTCAGGAGGAAAATTTGGGTGCAGATAAAAATTGGGGAGTCATCAGTGTGTAGGTGAGATTTAAAGCCAGGAGAACCAATGAGTTCATTAGGTAATGTGGACAGTGAAGAGAAAGACAACAGAACTGAACCAAGAACTGTATTTCTAAAGGTTCTTTCAATAGTAACATTCCTTGTAATAAAGGGATTGGTGTTATAGCCATGTAGATTTCCCCTGTCCCTGACATCAACATCTACTAATTCCTTATATTCAATTCCTCCACTACTGTGGCCTTATGCTCACTGTTTTAGCCTTCTGCATGGATACTGTTATCCAGCAAACGCTGATAGGCATGACCTGAATTTTGAGCAGGTGATTCTGTAGGTGCCATTTATCACTCATTCTGTATAAACTCTTTAAAGTATATATTGATTTCAGAGAGGAAGGGGGAAAGAGAGAGAGGTAGAAACATCAATGATGAGAGAGAATCATTGATCAGCTGCCTCCTGCATGCCCCCTGCTGGGGACTGAGCCTATAACCCAAGCATGTGCCCTGACTGGGAATCGAACCTTGACCTCCTGGTTCATAGGTCAATGCTCAATCACTGAGCCACACCTTCCAGGCTGTATAAACTCTTGCAGCATAGTAAAGGTCACTTACTGATACCTTTTGAATTCCAGGGAAAGATGAATATCCCTTTACTAAAGAACACAGGCTTGAATAGCTGATTCTTAATGATGGCTTCTTCATGTCCAGGGACAGTAGATCAGTTTCAAATACTTCTGAACCTCAGTTATCAGTATTTGGAAGACTTATTTGTAGGGGTAAAAAGAATTGCTAAAATGGTCCTCTACTGAAAACATAGCTAAAAATTCAATTGTTAACAGACATTCCTAGATTACACAATGTTTCCTAACATTCATTCAGTCCTCTACAAAGTCCCTGCATTTACAATATCAGAAAAGCATGTAAAACACTATCATCCACATTTTATAAAAGAGAAAACTTGGATTTGGGGAAATTAAATGATTTTTCAAGGGTTTCCTAAGTAGCACAATCAGAGCAGAGATCCAGTACATACATAGGTTTTGAAGACTTACAAACCGGAGTTTGAGTTCTGGCTTGTGTAAGATGACAAAAATCACTCTTTTTATTAACCAGTGAACCAACATATGAGCATAACTTTACTCCTGGAATAATATCTGATCACGATAAAATTTATCATGAATCAATTCATAATTTATGACATGAGATGTCAATTGTCAACTTTCTTCATTCCTGTATTTATGTCTTTTTAGTTTGAGAGTACGTAGTTTGGAAACACTGATATCTAATCTCTTTATACAACTAGAATACTATAGGCATTCTGAGAAACAATTTAGATTGAATATTATAGGAATTCTGCTTGAAAAACTTGCAGGAACAATTATTAGCCACCCCACTATGCTCCAGGAGATCACAGTCATCTGATATAGGGTCTCTAAAATACCTCCATGACCTGAGAACATACCACTATCCAAGACTATCCAAAGGACCATGCAGACTCCAAGCAAATAAAATCCTTTGAAGTTATACAATGCACAGCCCACACAACTGTATGTTAACAACCCTATATTTCCAGTTGTTACTATAATTCAGACCACCATATATACATTTTTAAATTTTTTTGAGATATAATTGACATATTATATTAATTTCATGTGTACAATGTAATGATTTTATATTTGTATATATTACAAAACAGTCACCAAAATAAGTCTAGTTAACATCCATCACTATAACATAGTTACAAAATTTTTTTACTATACTTTTGGTTTGCTATTTTAGTGACTTCTAATATACAATACAGTCTTATTAACTACTAGAGGCCTGGTGCACAGATTTGTGCACATTGAAAAGAAATTAATTAGAAGGTGGCCCGTGGGGCAGAACCGGGCGAGATTGGCCAGACACACCCTGGAGCCAACCTCCCATGGTCCCTCCCTGGCCGGCTGCACCTGGGGTGGTGCTCAAATGGCATCTGCAGAGTGAGCGGGGTCCCTCTGGCAGGTGGGGTCCCTCGGCCTGGCTTGTGGGGATCGGGCTCCTTCCTCTCTATTTCCAAGGTGCGTCACCCGAGAACTGCCACTGCCGAGTCACTGCAGCTCCGTAGCTCTTGCATTGAGCATCTGCCCCCTGGTGGTCAGTGCATGTCATATCTACAAACTTGTCAGTCAATGGTCATTTAGCCTTTTATATATATAGTCACCAAGCTATGCATTTTATTACCATGACTTATTAATAACTACAAGTTTGTAACTTTTGACCCCTTCACCCATTGAGCCACCTTTCCCACTCAAAAGCATCTGAGAACTACCAATTTATTCTCTGTGCCTATGAGCTCAGTTTTTGTTGTTGTTGTTTTCTTTTTTTGTTCCACATATAAGTGAGATTGTACCATATTTGTCCTTCTCTGATTTATTTTAGGCATAATGCCTTCAAGGTCCATCCATGTTGTTAGAAATGGCAGGATTTCCTTCTTTTTAGTGGCTTAATAATATTCCACTGTTTATATATACCACATTGTCTTTATCCATTCATCCATATATGGACACTTAGGTTGCTTCCATGTCTTGGCCACTGTAAATAATGCTGCAATAAATATGGGGGTACATATATCTTTTCAAATTAGTGTTTTTATTTACTTCTAATAAATA